GTGCCAGACCAAATCCAGGGGTACATAGGGTAGCCAACCACAAAGGGGTGGGATGGGGGGCGAGGAACAGGGAAAGGAAAAAAAAAAGGGATATGTGATGGGGGAATAGGGCACTGACCATCCAAGGGAAGGGGAAGGGTATTGTTTGTGTCTCCACAGGGAAAGAGGGACCAGATTTAAAGCCAGTGCCAGACGAATGCAGCTTGTTGGCAAGGAGTGGGGAGCCAGTGGAGGGGCCTGAGGGTTCGGCACCTATGCCAGCTAGGTGGACAGCTGCCCCTCCCCCCAGAAGAAGCTGCTTGAGAGGAAGGCAATGAAGCTGCAGCTAGGGGAGAGGGGCATGTCTGATCAGAGCAAATGGGAGCACTTAGGGGGAGGAAGGGAAAGTGGAGCACATCCTGACCCACCATGCCTGGAGGATGACATCCCCACTCTGAACAGCCAGTGGACAGAGGGGACAATATGGCTGATCCCACCATGAGACACGCCGTCCCTTGATGGCCCAGGGCTCTAAGGGAGACAACACTGGAGACTCAGTGTCAGGACTGGCCTAGACTGACCCTGAGACATCCAGGCAAACCACAAAAAGCGTGCGGCAAAGCAACCGTGGGAGCAGAGCAGAGAGCCCCGGAGGGAGTACAAAGGACAGACTCGGGGGCCAGAGCATGGTACCCCATCAGTCCTGACTGAAGGACACTCCTAGAGATCAAAAATCAGACCTTGATCTATTTACAGGTTTTTCTTTCTGCTTGATTCTTTTTTCTTTTAATTAACTTATTATTCCATGGGTAATAGGTTTCCTTTTTCATTGCCATCACTGTGCTCTCACTGATTGCCTATCTTGCGATGGCTTGGTTTTTTATACATATTGTTATCTCTACAGATCTATCTAGATAAGATAGACTGGATGAACAGTCTGGAGGAGAAAATACATGAAGTTTTTATATGTATGTGCAATTCAGTAAATTATTTGATATGACTCCTCTAGCTATAGTCTTTGTATCTAAATGACCGGGTGTTGTTTTTATCCAGTTGATTGTGTCTCATAGCGACCCTATGTACAACAGAGAAAACACTGTCGGGGCCTGCACCATCCTCAAAATCGTTATGCTTCAGCACACTGTTGCTATCAATCCACCTCCTTGAGAGTCGTCTTCTTTTTGGCTGACCCTCTCTGCTTTACCAAGCATGATGTCCTTTTCCAGGTAACTGTCTCTTCTGATAACATGTCCACAGTATTTGAGACAAGTTTTGCCATCCTTTGAAGGTGTATTCTGGCTATATACTTCTTCCGAGGCCTATTTCCTTGTTATTTTAGCAGCCCACAATGCTTTCAATATCTTTCACCAACATTGTAATTCAAATGCACAAGGTTCTTCTGTGGTCTTCTTTATTCATTGTCCAACTTCCACATGTACATGAGGAGACTGAAAATACCTTGGCTCGATTTACAGTGGTTCTCAACCTTCCTAACGCTGCGACCCTTTAATACAGTTCATGTTGTAGTGGCCCTCAACCATAAAATTATTTCTG